CACACACACACACACACACACACACACACACACACACACTGGTTGCATGTTTTTGGGGAAATTCCATAGGCATAATGGTTTTCATTCTGTACAAACAGTACTTTCTATCCCCTAACCCTATCCCTAAACCAACCCCTCACACAAAACTTTCTGCACTTTTAGATTTTCAACAACAAAAAAAAAGTTTTTGGACACTTAAGTGGCATGTTATTGACAATTAAATGAAAAAGTGTTCTCAATCTCATTTAAATTTATACTTCAGAATGCTTTTTTTTTTACCCACTTAAGTAGGATTTAAGTACATATTTAAATGTAATTTTATAATTACAGAAATCTTAATAATATGCTGATTTGATGCTCAAAAAACATTTCTTACTATTATCAATGTTGAAAACAAGACTGACCTCAGTCTTTTGAATGGTAATACATTTAGATTTCAAATATAATGATTCATTCACACATTTTCACTTAAGTAGGACTTAAGTACATCTTTAAATGTAATTTAATAATTGTCTTTGAATTGAAATATGGTTAAAGTGTACTGCTGAATGTACTGACAAGCATTTGTGGTAATATAAAACATACTTTAATGTTATTTCTAAAACTTGAATATCATGTATTGAAATGAATTTGTCATTTTTAATGATGAATTTGCAATTTAGAACATTGAAGATATATTTACTTTAAATGTAATATCAAATAAAACACTACAGTTAAAATTATAATAAAGTACTTTACATGTGTATGTTGGTCAACACATCAAAATAAGTACTTCTTTAAACCATGACAAAATATTATTAATTTAAAATGAACTTTGAAGTAAAACATTTAATTTGACATCATTACAAAGTCCACTTTTCAAGTGTGCTTAAGTTAAGAAACACAGTTTTAAAGTGGCCTTTTATTTTCACTAATATGATATTATCTGCAAGTACAGTTTTTTAAAATTTGAAGTAGACTACAAGTGCACATTTAATAGAATTAAGTGAAGTAACAATTGTCACAGTCTCTCCACAGTGCAAAAACATAAATATATGTCTTACAAGACATAACACACAGCATTTAACACACACAAACCATGACAAATGTAGTAGTAGTAGTAATAATAAATACAATCTGCAGTTACCTGTCAACATTTTTAAACATATATGGTAAAAATATATGGTAAAAAGTGCAAAAGTGTGACTAGGTCAGAAAGAAGTAATTGCACAATTATTTTCAGGATCCGAAATTAATTTGAACCAGCAAACACAACCAATCACGTTGTGTCATTACCTGACTTCATATTTATTATGTCTAACACCTCTCGTTTCAGGTTTCCTGTTGTCTCTACCCCAGTTTAACGAGAGCATGTACTCGTACGCCAGCGCCCCCTGGCCTCAGCCCTCCCACAACTACCTGTCCTTCATGGAGTTCGAGATGACCTTCCAGCCGACCAATCCCGACGGCACGCTGCTCTACACTGATGATGCGGCCAGTCGTGACTTCCTGTCAATCAGCCTGGTGGGCGGATATGTGGAGTTTCGCTTCGACTGCGGCTCGGGTGCCACAGTTATCAGGTGGAGTGTGTAGTGAAGTCCAAAACTTTTGCGTTTCTTTCCATTTTGGTAGATGACTGTGAATCAGCTGTTAAATATTCTGTAAAGATCAGAAACGATATCATTGCTTCTGTTGTCAGGAGTGAGGAGGCCGTCGCTATGGACGTGTGGCACGAGTTGCGTGTCTCTCGTACAGCAAAAAATGGCATCTTACAGGCAGACAACCAGAGACCAGTGGAAGGCATGGCAGAGGTGAACAGTTTCATATTATTTTAAAACATTTACTCTACCGTACAGAAGTTGGTGTCTGTAAGATTTTTTAATATTTTGGAATATTTTTATACTCTCCAAGCCTGCATTTATTTGATCATAAATGCCATAAAAATGGCAATGTTATGAAACATTATTGCAATTTAAAACAACTGTTTATATATATATATTTTAAAATGTAATATATTCCTGTGATGCAAAGCTGAATTTTCAGCAGCATTACTCCAGTCTTCAGTGTCATATGATCTGTCAGATATCATTCTAATATGCTGATTTGCTGCTCAAGAAACATTTTTGTTTTTAATTATTTTGTTATTATCAATGTTGAAAATAGCTTCTTTAAATTTTTTGTAAATATAACTGTTTTTTTTTCAGGATTCTTTGATAAAAATAATAGAAAGTTTAAAAGAACAGAATTTATTCTATATATTTTATAACATTATAATTGTCTTTACTGTCACTTTTGATCAGTTTGGTGAAAATGAACTAATAATTTATTTAAAAGAAATTGAAGTGACCTCGATCCTTTGAACATTAGTGTAAGGAAATATTCTGAATCTTTCACTTAATTTCATTAGTGATTTAGTTTCATTATATACGTTTAAATCTGGATATTTTATTTTATTATATTTTTTATTTTATCATTTTATTCAGTCCACATAATTTCCTTTAAAGGGGTCATATGATGCGATTTCAAGTTTTCCTTTCTCGCATCATATGACCCCTTTAATGACAGAGTGAAAACACACTTTTCACTTAATATGGGCTTTTGAACATCATCAAAATCTAAATGTATAATACAAGGGATCTGTATGCTTTCTTATTATTTTGTATGTATATAGTGTATTGCATAACAACAAAAATATTCATAATAATCTCTCTCTTTCTTTCTCTCTCAGGGTGCATTTACACAGATAAAATGTAGTTCTCCTCTCTATATTGGAGGAGTTCCTAATTATGATATTACTAAGATGAGCGCTGGCGTCCTGAGACCCTTCAGTGGAACTGTGCAGAAGGTACTAGACTTGTAGAAACTATAGACACCCAATGCACCCTAACGACCACATAGCAATGTTAACAAATAATCATGATTATTAAATAGTGTAAATTCAGCAGCAGTTAATTCAATATGAGATTGAAGATGCTTAGTGTTAAATGCTGCGGTTGAATTTAATGCTGCAACACCTGACTATTTACTACTGCACAAGATCCATATGCAGATTTAATGTTTGTAGCATTATTATTTCCATTCTTTCCTCCTGACCCAGATCACTCTGAATGACCGCACTATAGAGCTAAATCCCGGTCAGGCTTTTGGGGTGAACGTGTTGAACGCAGATCACCCGTGTGTGGAGAACCCATGTGCTAATGGAGGAACATGCAGGCCGAAGTGGGACAGATACGACTGTGACTGTGCGCTTGGGTATGATGGGAAACACTGTCAGAAAGGTGAGAAAACAAGCAACTCTATGGCATAGGTGCTCCTGAAGATCTGCCATCCATAGTTAATCCAGGGATAAGTTTAGAATGGAATCCTTACATACTTCCCATGCAATTATTGCCAAATGCATAATGTGCAGTATGCGGAAAAACATACTTTATCCATTAAAAATAGAGTTTGCAGCACTATACAGTATATGATGTGCACCATACAGTATGCTAGTATTTCATTCCAAAAGTAGGCTATGTCAAATGATTTACTGGCAAACTACTATTCTTACTATTTTAAGGTATGCAAAATTCCTATATGAATTTATGTTATATGTTATTATTAACTGAAGACTGAAAATCACTTTTACTTAGAAAAATCCTAATACTTAGAAAGGTTGCCTTTTATTTAATTTTATATTTAAATTTATAAAATGTCTACAACTAAAGCAAAAATAAAAATAATTTACAACTATATAGAAATTAACATAGACATATTTTAATAATTAATATTATAATTATTATTTATAAACTTTATCTATTATTTTATGTCATTTTAATGTCAAAAGCACATAAAAAAATGACAAAAACGATCAAAATATAAAAATAAAAGTTAATTAAACTGGAAAAAAAATACTGTATCTCAGAATGCATTGCACTACATTTAATCTTCCATGCCTGTTATGACTCCTCTTTGACTTATTATTTGATCAGGTTGTGTTTTTAAATACAAAATTAGATTAAAATGCAAATAACAATATGAATATAACTGGAAACAATGCAAACTACTAAGCTTTGCACAGTGCTTCTCATATTATTAGTATAAGGTTGAAACTACACTCTGCAGGAAGGCAGATATCCAGGAGTGGGACTGAGCGCTAAGTGAAAACTTTCCTTCCATAGTATTTTTTTTCCTTGGTTTTAGACTGAGATGTCGCTCTGATATTCTTTGCAGACATCTTCCATAACACCTCAAAATCTTTCTTAAGCTTCTTTTATTCTGTTTTGTGCTCTCACTGTGCAGAATGTGGGAATTATTGCTTAAACAGTAAGTACTGCAGGCAAAATCTTATTTATGTCTGCTCTTTAATAAGAATGGCTTTAGTGTATTTATGATGTGTGCTGCCATCTAGTGAATGTAACAGAGCTGTGCACTCTTTGTGTTTCACTGTATCAGCTGTCACTGAATCTATTGAGATCCCTCAGTTCACTGGACGCAGCTATCTGACATACGACAACAGAGATATCCTCAAAAGGTAGAGTACTTTTGCTTTTACACTCTATAACTGCGCTCAGATCAATAGAGTGAATTAGTCCCTGCATACTTGTTCAGTTTTTGGGTGAACTATCCCTTTAATGCATTATATGCCATGAACTAAACCAGCAGCTATGAGGTGAATCACAACATTACAAAATTGGATTTTAAGTAAAAAAGTATTTGAAAATCAGACATAAAAGAATATGTGCTTAACTGTTTTAGTGAGGGAAAGAACTACAATCCATTGAAGCACTGCAAATGACAATCAAATTAAAAACAATGGTGAAATATAAAACTATTCATTTAAACTTGTTGATTATAACTATAAAAACAATAGTTTTATGCAAAATGTGCATTACATCATTTGCAGTGCTTCATGGGAGAGTGTGTTCCCTGAAAACTCTTTTGGTGCAATTTGCTCACCGCAACTCTCTGATTGGTGGAATTTTGCACAGCATCATGGGTAATGTAGTTTTCCACCTTGAATTCCACTGTTAAATCAAGTAATTTTAAATAATCCAAACAGATGGCTTCATCAAAAGCACATACCATTGATTAACAACCTTGGAGCTCAATGTAGGCCTGTTAAAAATCTATTACCCAAAGAACTCGATTGTTGCACTCTATGCTTCATATGAAGTTTTTGTCTTTTCTGTGCATACTGTACATGCATGCACACATGCTAATATAACGGTGCGTGTCTCTGCAGGGTATCAGGTTCCAGAACAAACATGTTCATGCGTTTTAAGAGCACGTCTAAAGATGGTCTTTTACTGTGGCGGGGGGACAGTCCAATGAGAGCCAACAGTGACTACCTGTCTCTCGGCCTTCAAGACGGAGCGCTCATTTTCAGGTATAACAACATATCCATCTGCAGTATGCTTAAAGGCATGAGAGTTACATATGTCAGACAATTTACAGATCCTAAGATCCTCCTAACATCTCTTCTTCTCTCTACAGTTATAATCTTGGTAGCGGAGCCGGCACTGTGGTCATTAATGGCACATTTAGTGATGGCAAATGGCACAGAGTGAAGGCTGTCAGGTCAGACATTTGCCATCAGTTGTATTTCTTCATCAAAATTTCACATAATTCAGCATGTTTTTTTTTTTTTTTTTGAAACCTGATAGTAATTTCTGAGTGAAAACTGTTTAAACGTAAATCCTAAGTCAAATGTCAGGCAATTTGCACCATTTAAAATGGCCGTAGTTTCCTCAGTTTAACGGTCAAGACGGTTGGTCTCTGTTTGAAGGGATGGACAGTCTGGTAAACTAACCGTTGATGATTACGGAGCTAAAACAGGCAGATCTCCTGGAAAGATGAGACAGCTAAACATCAATGGTGACCTTTACATTGGTAAGAATAAACACAATTACGACGTTAATTGTAATGTGATAAAGATTATGATAATGACAATAGATGTTCATACAAGAGTGTGTATGAAATAAAGTAGGAATAAAAAACACTACCATTCAGAAGTGGTTTTATTGAAAGAAATTTATTATTTTATTCAGCAAAGATGCATTCAATTGTTTAAAAGTGACAGTAAAGACATTTATAATATTAAGAAACTGTTTGTTTTGAACCTGCTATTCATTACAGAATCCTGAAATAAATTTATTACAGTTTTGATAAACAAATATGAAGCAGCACATCCCTTTTCAACTTTTTGTGTGTTTCTTAAGCAGCAAATCAGCATATTAGAATGATTTCTGAAGAATCATGTGACGCTGAAGACTGGAGTAATAGTGCTGAAAATTCAGCTTTGCATCATCAGGAATAAATTACATTTCTAAGTCTATTCAAAAAGAAAATTGCTATTTTAAATTGTAATAATTTTACATGAATATTACTGTTTTTGCTGTATTTTTGATCCAATAAATGCAGCTGTGGTAAGCATAAGAGACGACTTTAAAAAAAAAACATTGAAAAGCTTTTGAATGGTAGTGTATGTATTGTACATGCATTTGTCTAATTCTGTTGGTGATTTTGATTTCAAACTTCTCCAGGGGGGATGAAGGAGATCGCGTTGCACACTAACAGGCAGTACATGCGAGGTTTAGTGGGATGCATTTCTCATTTCACTCTGGCCACAGACTACCATCTGTCTCTGGTTGATGATGCAGCTGACGGCAAGAACATCAACACCTGCACCAACTGAACACCTCAAAAACACCAGCTACAGATCGTGACCATCAGTATCTGTGATCCAAGAACAACATCATCAAAATAACAACAATATCAGGAACACCAACATCACTGACCTCAGCTGAGAAGCAACAAATACATTAGCAGTTGCAGCCAAAATTTATATATGCCCCATTCAACACTTCAAAATGATCATAGTTAGTCAACAATAAGCTATAACGTAATAAAAGAGCCAAACCTACAGCATTTAGCTTGGAACATTGTATATGTGGTGAGATGAGGATGAAAGTGTTTTCTTGTGAACCTTCCATTATACACCAAATTCCTGCACCAACAGCAAGAGTTGGGCTTTTTTTTTTGTTTAGCTTCTGCACTCAGTGTAATAACAAAACGGTTTTCAAACATGTAGTTGAATCACAGTAAATAAATGTTGTAGTATTTCATAAGCGAGCATGCATATATTTGAAGGCAAGCCCAGCTCAGAGGTTGTTTGTCCATCATGCAATATTTGATCTTTTAAAGCATACTAAACATATTTATATTGTTTTCAAATCTACAAGCCCTTTTTATGGCACTTACTGTATGGTTCTGCAACCAGTTCTTGTCCTTAGTCAGATGGGTCCTCTTGTATTATTCTCTTCAAGGGCAAAGTTGAGGGACAAATGTATTTATATAATTATTGTTTTTTTTTATACTATTAATTTTGAATCAGTATTTAGACTGATGAATTTATAGATAAAGATGGTTGTGATGAATAGCTGTCATGTAGTGTAGTAAACGTCTCTCTCTTCTAGGCGGATTTGCTTCAGCGTCGAATGGTGCGTCGACAAAATAAAACCTTAATTTATGACTTTAATATAGGCTACATTTAAATATCACACCTAGTTGGCGTTTGGCTAACGGTGGCGTAATAGTTTAAGTTGTGATGAACGGACAAAGTGATGTGGTTTTTCTTTTGTATCAGAGGTTTCTCTTTAACGTCTCTGCCTCTCTTTTCCTTCTAGCTACACACTTTTATGAATCCCAAAGACTCTTTTATAGCTTCTGTAGCTCTTTATTTATTTTTGTTCATGTAAGTTAATGGATGTCTGCAAAAAAAAATGCATCTCTTAATTTTTCTGCCTTGATGTTTTAAAAGCCTATAATTTTGCCATCAAAAATGTGACATTGATTTCATTAAAAAGAATGCCAGACACTTCATTTTACGCGGGTGTATCTTTAAATTTATTTTAAAGCTTTGTAATTACAAATCTTTCTCAAAAGACAGTCAAAACAGTAGATATACCACGCCGTTGTAATTATATATATATATATATTAGTGCTGTCAAACGATTAATCGCGATTAATCACATCGAAAATAAAAGTTTTTGTTTACATAATATATGTGTGTGTATTGTGTATATTTATTATGTATATATAAAGACACACACATACAGCATATTTTGAAAATATTTACATGTATATATTTATATTCATATAAATTATAT